ACAGTTAAAGCCATTCTTATATAAAACATTTGAACATGAAAGCTTCGTAGTTTATTGTAAGTGATTTTAAATAATCATAACTTAAAAGCTTTTATGCATGTGAGTTTCCATAAGTTAAAAGTCATTAGTTTCTTGATAAGCTACTCAAAATCAAATTGTATTTTTAATAAAATTGTTAGAGTCTTATCATGACTCAATCTGGCTCATTTCACCACTTTCAGATATTTTTGGTTAGAGGAGAGTAAAATAAGATTTAAATTGTTCAGATATAGCTTTCATAGCCACAGGTAACTTAAAATCTTGTTCTCAAATATTTCTTGAGAGGTTTGAATATATAGAATAATTTATTAAAACATTTATAAAAATAAATCTGATCATTTTATCACTGATATTTTTATGTTTCAGATTAATGAAAACAGCTGTTTTCAATTAGATTTGATACAGTCTTACAAAGTAAAATTATTTCATTTTTATATCTTAAAAAAGTAATGTTATAGTTAAGCCCTTGGAAACGGGCACAGTAAAGACAACATACTACAGCTGGTAGCAAAGTTCTTAAAAGAAATACCTTTCAGTTTTATGCCTACTTACAGAAATGTATACAGTTGTTTTTGACCAGAAATTGAAGGTAGATAATTTTTCATTACACTATTTCATAAGTTTGTTGCAATCTTGGTTATCTAGAGCTTTTGTTTTTCTTTGGTCTATATTTTAACTACCAAAAATGTTGTGACTCATTTGTGTTCTGTGTTTCATGTACAGAGAATTAAATAAGCAGTTACTAAAATGTTAATTGTAAAGATTTCAATGTCATGGTTATTATGTAGATTACCACTTTTGTATCTTGTTACCAAAGTAAGTTTATTTGTGAAAAGTAAATGTGTTAATTAGGATTCTTTAAGATTTGTTAATTAGGTTTTTGAAAGAAATGGTAAATTTTATCAAATATATATTTTTTCAAAGTACTATTTTAACATATTACATCTAGTTAGTAAATTAATCCATCTGTTTTTTGCATATTTTCCATAGGTTACAAATATTTTACACTTAAAACATACTATTTGCTTTGCTGCTATTATTTCAAAATTATCAGGAATGAATTTAAGATACAATAGTTTGGGAATTGGCTTACATAAATGTATCTTACTAAATAGCACATTATTTACTGTCAGCTAATTGTTGTTTTCATGTGCTTAGATAATCTTTTTCTTTAATAAACTAGGTATCTAAATTGTTAAGCCACCTTCCAGTGGAATATCGGGACCTCGTACAATATTGTATTAATGCCCACTTCACCACTATTACTGAGCAGTTAAGGACAGAGACCCATGCTATTACATCTTCTCACCTCAGTGATTTTGACTGGAAACTAAAGGTTTGTTCTTGCTTATTCATTATTAACTTATTTACAGAATGCCTTTTTTCTTATCTAATTATATTGAAATTATGATATAACTTTTACCTAACATCACTGATGTAACCAGCACATGGATCTTGCTTACATGTGTAATGGACTACTAATGAAGACAATCAATCACAATACTATTTATCAAAATACAAAAAGAAAGGTGGAAAAACACAGGTAACCAACATGAGAATTAAGGAGACATATTTGTCAGAAAATTAATATATTTATTAATTATCAATTTTTATACAGTGGAGCTAAATATTCAGATTACCTTTAATGAAAATTATTAATGAATCAAAAGAAACTGTATAGGTTATTACAAATCATATAGTTCACAATAAATCCTGGTATACATTATATAAATAGAACAATGATACATATATACTTCTACTAACTGTTTTGCAACTGTCTTGGTGGATTATACCAACCATGTGACCATCAGAGTTACCATACTATAACTTTTAACATGTATTATATCTTCACAAAATTTTTCAAGCTTTTATTAAATATTACAAGTCTTTTGTAGACAAAAAATTAGACTTTTAAAGTATTTTTACTAAAATTTGTCTATGAATATATCAAGTCAGAGTGTTGACTGCTCCAAGTAGAAAGTGATTTTTATGTTAAGATTAAAAATACTTTCTCATCTGAAAATTTTCAAATTTCATTTGCATAATCTCTAAAACCTCCTAAATAAGTATCAGCTGTTCCTTTTTTTGGAAAAACATTATATTTTATGTTATTTTCTCTTCTCTATACAGGGTTGGTCAATTTGACCGACCATGTATTCATCATACAACTTTAAAGGTTGAAAAACGTGAAATAAAGTGTTCTATCATCTTCAGTATTGACCACAAAGTTCTAAAGTACTTCTCCTGAGTTTCTACTTCTAACCTTTTCACATCTATTTTGTATGATTATTTTACTATTAGCAGCTGAAGTATAAAACTGCCAATCATAAAGCAATCAGTAACTGCTCCTGCCATTAGACTGTTTACGTGACACTGTAATAATTAAAAAAAGAGTAACAGTCTTATTTATTCAATTTACAAGTTCCTATACATGTAAAACTAAGTCTAATAAAAATGTTATGCGTCAACCATTTGATCTGTGACAAAACAGTATACAGAAGAAATGGTTTGACTAAAATTGTATAACATTTTTAACTGTAGAGCAATCAGATCAAAACATTACATTTGGCCCAGCAGTGAGTACTAGAGAGTAGTTTCATTAAGTTTTTGACACTTATTTTTTGTGTATATGTAATGAAAGTATGAATTTTAAAGCTTGTTAATTAAGTGGTGATATAAAAATATATTAAGAGACTGTAAAATAACTACTTCCTATTTATGGTAATACTAGCCCTGACTGTATTTAAATAGTTGTGGTATTATCAGGCTAACTGATTTCCTCAAAGAGTGTTGGGTAGGTCTGTAATAGGAGCATCAGCAGGATAAATTACGAAGTAAGTCTAATTGTAACTGAATTAAAGGAGTTTGTGCAAAGAATTGAACAGACTGGACACCATGTGTTATACAAACTTAATTCAGGGGACAAACTGTGCATATTTAGTTTTTATATATTGGATGGTTACCTGCCATTGGACTTGTGAATCAATAATAAGGTTTTCTTCCTGCAAGATATCTTTCCATCATCCAACTCACTTGAGTATCTGTGTAGTAATGTTTTTTACTTAATGAGAAATGTTGGATTTACTCCTAGTGACTAGTGCTACTTATGTTTCTAGTCATTGTCCTTCAAATTATGGGAGGCTATAACATCTAGATGTCATCTGCTCTACCAATTGAAGGACACTGCTATCATTTACTTTCTTGTACAATGTGCTGTGTTAAACCAATATTCTCCGCAGATGTAGTGGGTATTATCTCTGGAGAGCAACAAAGGAACAAAAACAACAAGAAGGAAGTCAAGTTAAAGGTTTCTTAGGCCATGCGTTATGTTTAAATTTGGAATAAATGAAGAATTTTGTACATTACAATAAGAAGGTAGAAAACATATGGTATGCCTTCATACCACATTCTTCCTTCCATATATTTTTCTAGTTTGTCCCCAAACTGACTATTACATTTAACTTTTAAAACCATTTCAGTATACACTGGTGACATGGTCAAGAAGTATGTTAAGTTCTCTCATCCATATTAATTTTTAAACAACATGGATGACAAAACCTTTAAGTAAAGAACTACAACTTGAACATCAAACCCTATAACTATAAAATGCAATATAATTCATAATAAAATAAACAAAGAAAACTGTTGATAACACTTGAACTTAAGATTGAAACATATGTCAATGGAGGTAGTCCAGTGAAGCTGTGCATAGTATTGTTTACTATAGTTCTGAATTTACTACATGTATCTTCATGATTTGACATATGCTGTACAAAATATTCTGAATTTTTCATATAATAAAGTATTTCTACTTAAGATTTATCTGTGAATTTCTGAAGCTTTTATTGAGTTAATCTGAGTGCCAGGTTACTTTCATGTTAAGAATAAAAATACTTTTTTTTCATTGTAGTTTTCTTATTTTATTTGAATAACCTATACAACCTACTAAATGAATATTAAAAACTTTTTTGGTAAAACTTTGTCTTTTATTTGTCTTTCTTTCTTCTTTTCTTTAACACTAAATGTAAAAAAAAAATACAGCAGTG